AGAAAAAGAGGTTAAAAAAAAGTGTTTGTATTAATAATGCCACAGGATATCCTGATTCAAAAATAACAGATTGGTTACTTCCCATTGCATCTTCTAATAATTTCATAAAGGATGTCAAATAAACCATTGCTCTGAAATTAAATATTCCCATTCCTGCATGAGACCCAAAATCTTTATATATATATGTCATTGTGTAAGTATCTTAGAAATGTGTTTTTTGGCAAAAATTCTTGTTTTCTAAGACTAATGTTACACTCTAAGTGAAATATATTTTTCAGTTTAGCATCTTAATTCAGCCAGTAAGTCAGTTGGAAACGATCCAAAATTGAGATCTAAGCTGAATATGTAGGGATCTAAATTACTGAGTGTTTTAATCAATGTTTTATCATTGATAAAACATGAGGCAAATCTAAAATCTTTGTAAGTGACATATATGACCTATGTTTCTGCCAAGCCAAAAGGACTAGACTGAGCTTTGTAGGTCTTTGTCACACGAAATTGTGGATTTTGTTAGTCAATTCAAAGTTTTACTTTAAATTTTACTCTATTTCACTAATATTCACTTGAAAATGACAATAATATCCAAAATTGATTTACACTAAATTTAAATGTAAAAGCAATTTTTGTGTATATTTTTACATTTTCCACGATATCAAACCAATACCAATTTATAATTTGTGACTGGTTTCATGTCTTTATTTTCTACTACATGCATAAAAGCCTAGCTGTATAAAAAAGAACTGTTCTGTTTGGATCTTATGTTCGTATACTGCCCATTTTAGCCAAGCTTGAGAATCAATGAGTTTTTTTTTTCCATATTTTGCACTCTGGTCCCACTGGCTTCTTCCAGTACCAAAATTTAGGAAGGGAACCAATCACAATGTGCACACATGCTGCGAGCTGTGCACTGCAGGAAAAAAACAGATAAGTCTGATCCACTACAAAGCGCTTTCCGTTCAGTGTCTTGAACGTATTTAATAAAATATATTGCACTGACAAGAAGCACGAGTGATGGATTTATTCATAAACACAGTTACAATTGTGCACAATGAATCATTCTAACACAAACAAGGAATTTGCTGCTTCATTGATTTGCTATAGCATAGAAGTTGCTACTACAGTTGAATTCTTACTGCATTTGTAGGAAATTTTTTTGTGTGCTATTCAATGGAGCTGTTAACGATTTAAACATCAAGCATCTGTCTTAAATCTGTTGACAGAGGTATGTCATATCGAAGTTTTAAGTATTGATCGGTTTCTCTGACCAATATTCTAAGCATGTATTAAGAGAGTTAAATATATTTTGGGTTCTGAATGTTGACATTTCTTGGAAATATTTATTAAAATAAAAGCTTTTATAAAAATCAAATCAATGCATTATTGCAATTATTTATATTACTTATAATGAATCAAAGTTCATTTAGACATGGCAGTACTACAGCTTGTTAACTTTGGCTTGGGCTCCAACCAACTTCATACACAAATAAGTTACTTCCATGAACTAGCTCCTTGCCCTTATAATTACTACATTTGGATTAACTGTATTAAGAATTTTTTTTTGTTGATCACTGGCTATTGCATTTATTGCCTACCATTAATTGCCCATAGAGAAGCTAAGAGTCAACAATAATAGTGTGGGTCTGAGGTATACATAGGCCTGATAAGGGAAGGATGGCAAATTTCCTTCTCTTAAGATCATCAGTGAGCGCACAAGGTTTTATTGACAATTGGTAATGCTTTCATGGTCATCATTTGATCCTTTATTCAAAAAAAGATTTTTACTAAGTCTAACTTTCACGATTTGCCATTTGGGGATGTGAACCCGTATTTCACAGAACATTAATTGTGGGGGGGAAATAGTGTGTGGCAGCGGGGGGGGGGGGGGGGATGGGGGGGGGGGGGGGGTGGGGGGGGGGGATGGTGTGTGGCAGGGGTTCTGGATTACTACTCCAATGACATCACCACACAAACAATTCCACCCCCACCCGTTTATCTGTCTTTTGAGTGTTGTCTCATCCTGTTTTCCAATAGCATTCATGTAATCAGGATTGATGCCATCTCTTTTCAGTTGGATGATTCCAATATTTCTTCTGTTATTAGCATGTTACTTTCAGGTCTAGATATGATGTTGCCATGTGTCTTTCCAGGCCTTCCTTTCAATGGCTAAACTATTGTTTACACCATTTTGCTGTCTATGCTGAGTAATAGCTTAATTAATATAATCCTCATGTCCAGTTCTAGATATATTCTCCTGTTGCAAGCTGCAATAGAGTCTTTCATGGTCAACTCCTACACAAATTTTTACCTTTGAATATTTTTTGATATCTTTGTGCCCTTTTATATTTATTTCACAACAAAACTTATACTTCTAATGATACTGCTGCACTAAATCGACCATTTAATTTGATTATAGCTGATATGTGACCCAACTCTACAAACTTGTGTTTGCCTCATAACCTTTCATGCATCGAGTTAGCAAAAATCTATAAATCTCAGATTTAAAGTGAACAATTTATCAATTATCATTTGCGAACAAGAGTTCAAAACCTCTCTTACCCTTTCCTTGCACAAGTGTTTCATAATTCCACCCCTGACAGGTTGAGATCCAGGTCTGGGTCTCATTCTTACACCAGGATCATCCAGTTTTTCAGCCTAAGTCCAGAAGCAGGTGAGTTTTGGATTCAACAACGGCCTTTGAAGATTGGAAAGCCCAAAAGATCTTCTAGCAATCAGCTAACTGATTTAGGATTTTATAGTAATAATTATATCAAAATGATGAGAATAATCAGAGGCTGGCAGCTCGAAAAATTAGCAATACCATGGAGGAGGCTTTGTATGTTGTGGCACAAGAGGGCTCATGGAATCTCTGGATGGCAAATTGCCCAAGGGAAAGAAAAGCATTATTTGAGAGGGATTTATGATGTGGATGATCACAGGAAGAGAGATCGAGGGAGTCACAAACATATGTAGCAGGGTGCTTTCAGTGGTCACCTCCCAGTACTAGGTCCAACCCCTTAACTGTGCATAGATTAGTGCAAATCAAAGGAACCTGCAAACAATCCCCCATTCCTTCAACAAACAGCATGCCTGCACTAGAAACCAATGGGCAGGCTGCCTCTTTCTAGTCCCATCTGAAGCTGAAATAATTGCAGTCTAGGCAATATGAAGCCATTAACTGATCATTAATTAGCCACTTAAGCACTTCAATTAGTGGAAGGGCTGGAAGATGGCGACTGGGCCTTCTCACTCAGAATTTAATTCAGGCAAAGGAGGTAGAAGTGGCAGGATTCCCATCTCGCCAAGTAAAGTTCCCTTTACGCCCCAAGCCTGGCATCTCTGGGCCCAGAAGACAATATGAGATATTAGGCATGCTAGTTATGTAAATGGTTATACTTTAAACTCTCTCTAATTTCAAGTTCAGATTTGGGAATCCAAAGCATTGCAAATTAGCGTTTCTACTTGGATTCAAGGGCTACGTAATTCACATTGCCATGTGACTGGGCTATAGGATACAGTCTATAGTAAGCCATGGGGTTGCAGGCTTTTCAAAGATATCCTTGAAGCAGTTATGAGAATCTAAATGGAGCAGGAAAATTCATCTAGCTTTAACTCAAGGAAGAAGTGTTCACAGTTACCTTCACTGTCAAAGTTAGGTCAGAAATTGGAAGCTATCTGGTAGGAAAAGGAAAAAGGAAGAAAGTCATTGGAAGCTGGAATGGGAAAGGTTCCTAGAGATTAAAGTATTTGCATCATTGATAGGACAAAGTATAACCACGAAGGGGGATTTTCAGTTATTTCACTAGTTAATTGGATGATCTTTTCTGTAGTTTAATCTATAAATTGCTGATGTAATTTTTGTTTCGACAAGATTGTTTTCAACTTGTTTGTCAGAGCAAAAGATGACAAATTTGAAATCTTCCCATGTGATCATTCCAGTCAGTCACTGGAAATTCAGACACCTTTTCAAAAGTCAGTGTCTAAGAGATTCGTAATGATCATTATAAAGACAACATTCGATTAGCTATTAGCTTTTTGATAAATTTCCTTACATATTAATCACATTTCTATGATTTTTATATATGAAGCCCACAAATTTTGAAAGGGTTCAGAAAAGATTTACAAGAATGTTGCTGGGATTGGAGTGTTTGAGCTACAGAGAGAGGCTATATAGGCTGGGGCTTTTCTTTCCCCTGGAACATCAGAGGCTGACAGGTGACCTTAATCAAATCATGAAGGGCTTAGATAGGGTAAATAATTAAGGTCTTTTCCCTGGGGTGGTGGAGTCCAAAACTAGAGGGCATAGGTTTAAGGTGAGAGGGGAAAGATTTAATAGGGGCCTAAGGGACAACTTTTTCATGCACAGGGTGGTGCATGTATGGAATGAGCTGCCAGAGGAAGTAGTGGAAGCTGGTACAATTACAACATTTGAAAGGCATCTGGATGGGTACGTGACTAGGAAGGGGTTAGGGGATATGGGCCAAATATGGCAAATGGAACTAAATTAATTTAGGATATCTGGTCGACATAGACGAGTTGAACCAAAGGGTCTGTTTCCGTGCTGTACAACTCTATGACTCTAAAAGTCATAGAACATTCATGGTTCTTTAGATTTTCACCGTCCAGAATATACCTTGTTCTAGGTCCATAATCTCCACTTTGACCTTCATTTTCAAGGTTTTGCGCATTCATTTAACCTGTTACTGTCTTTGTACTTTTATGTTACCAACACATTGCTTTTAAGGCCAGTAGTAATTTAAAATAAATGACTTAATGTACCTGCTAAAATAATGAAACACTGAATGACAGGTAAAGCATCATGCTCATTCATTAGTACAACAAGCATAATGTTATAACCATCGAGTTTGCAGTTTTCAAACTGAAAAGTGTTGGTGCAGTACGTATAATTTCAACATCAACAAAATACAAATACGTTTTGGTGATACCGAGACACAGAGAATTTTAATTTTTGTCCAACAAATGAAGCTACTCATTTTACTTACATATCACTTGCAATGGAGGAGTTCCTCGACATAGACTTTGGAGACAGGTCATAGTCACTGTCAGATCGGTACAGGAAAGACTCCCGCCGCTGACTATGCACAAAGTTTGCCTGTAGAATGAGCCCTGAGCCAGGACTCGTCATCGGATCTAAGGGACTCCGTCCTGAGGATGTGCCATTGTCCACGTCAAAACTGAAAGGGAGAAAAGTACGAATAAGAAACAAATAGGAATAGATGTAGACCATTCAATCCATAAAGCCCACCCCACCATTTCACATAATCATGACAGACTGAACAGTTCAATGTCTTTTATCAAATCGACCCTGTAATTATTATCGTATTGGACAAATAATAATTGCTCAGGGCATCTGGGAGCACAGGACAGACACCATTATAACCAATAACTTTAAAGGATAGTGAAACTAACAGTGCAAAGACTGAGAAGAAAATATAAATTAAGTTGGGAGAAATACAGAAGAGAGGAGAAGAAAACCAGATGCAAAAAAAAGGGCAAGAAATAAGAAAGGAAAAGAAAAAGAAGCGTTTGTAGTTTAATTTTCCTTAACATTTACGATAGCAATTGAAGCATGAAGCCATGGTGCTTGAGACTTGTAATAGTTAATATTCATGCAAGAACAGGTTGACAGAGAGTTATTTAGACTTATCATATTATTAAAAAAGAGTGCTGAGACAGAAATAGAGATGTAAATCAAATGTGCCACAAAAGTTTACATCACCTACAGAAATACCATAAGTTCACCCATTCAAGACATATTAATAACGGGTCAGATAGCAAGGTATAGATTTTATGCAACCCTGCCAGTGGGTTTGAAGGCAAAGAACACACAAATTCCAGTGGGTGACCTTGCAGCTAATTCCTTGTCTAACCCCAAGCTGTCTGAAATTTTATGGAAGGTGGAGAAAGTGTTGGGTGGTTGTCATGCCCTTGTCGCTACTGAGGATATTAGGGGTCTCAACCCATCCCCCAGAGGTATTTTGGCCACAGCAGAGGGGAGGCACATGAGTGAAGTCCAGCGGCTGTAATTGTGTGGGTTAGTGTTGGGCAAAATCGAAATGTTCTATGAGGCTCTCTCGTCCCCTAGTATCAGCCCTTCACTTGACACTTTGCATGGGCTTCTGAACCGGGTTCCCAGCAACACAGTACCCCCACGCATCTCTCTCTCTCTCTCTCCCCACTTTCCTTCCCCACCCCCGACCCCACTCTCTGATGCTCCAAACCAGATTTATTTTTCAGTCTGTATCCGTCAGGATTGGCTGCAGTTCAGTGAGTGGTCCTGGTGGTATTGCTGGGACTGCAGAGCGGTCAGCTAATCCAATTGTTGTGGGGGGTGGGGTTCATCTTCAAATATTTTTAACTGGGAGGACACGGACCACAGTGTCCCTTAAAATCCAGACTGAGGGAGCAGCTGTTTCGGTGACATCAGAATACTTTTAGCCTTGTTGTCATTCTCATACAAAATCTTTGCCCAGTGTAAGTTATGATTATTTACGGATTTTAAAATATTGCTTCAGCAATTAGGAGCACTTGATGACAAATTTGCAAAACATTTGTTTGACAGATTAAAAAATAAGTGTTGTAGAGATTCATGGGACAGCAAATGTACACGGTCAGAAGGTGAATACGTAAGCTTGCAGAGACTAATGTTTTTTTCGTTCGCACTATGTGTTCTTAACGTCACTCAACATTGGATGCAACTAAGGAGGGACAACTGACCTGGCAAACTAACCATAGAACCTTCTGATACTGCCTGCATGCTACAGATCATTTTTCAAAAAAGCACAAAACTGACAAAAGATTTCTATTTGACTAGCAGTCTGCTTTCATACCAGGCAAAAAAAAAGACTTCAAGATTAAAGTGCTGCAAAGAGTAAAGTCATGGCAAGTGCAATCCTCTTCAAATGCTTTGAGATCTAGACACAGTGAAACCAAGAAGCTGACATTTGTTTTATGTCAAATCTGCTTAAAGTACATGCATTGTGCTGCATTGTGTATTTGGTGTATTGTGAATTGGTCTGCAAATTCACTTATTGGAATGTGCATAACCTTTCTTAACAAATAATAGCTGTAAACCATCGTCGTGTTCTACCAATGATATTTGCGTAGAAGGTATAAAAGTGTGACCATGTTGCCTGCCTTACAATTACAACCCTCTCTGTGCTGGTGTATGGTTTCCACTTATCAATTTGACTTTAACTTGGAATTAAATGTATGGGAAACTCACATCTCAAAATCCAGGAAAAGCTAAATTAATGGACTTGCAACATGCTGCACCATTGTGACAATGATTCTGCCTGTTCTTGTTTGTCTTTTTGTCATTTTCTATATTCTCTCAACTCCATTTTCCAAGGCCACCTGGTCCTTGAGCTTTGCCAAAGCTTCTCTAGATATTGAGTAAGGTTGCTTGAAATTACTTGTCCATTTTATCTTCTATATTACTTCTTTTAGAAAAGATGGTCTCTTGTGATGAGCTTGATCACCAAAGTACTATCTGGCTAGGGAATTGTGCGCATCCATGTTACTGCATTTAGACTTACCAATACATCATTATGATCCCAAAAGATGTCTTATTGTAGACATCTATTTTTGATATTCCAAAAAAAAACTGCCCTAACCTATAAAGAACTTTTGATGGTATTTTCAGGTTTCATTGGTAATGGAGATCGAATATAAAAAAAAATTGAATATTGATTGAAACCTTCCAAATGTACCAGTTAAAACTGACTTGAACTATGGGATCACATATTTAACAAAAGTTCTATCATTTACATTGATATTATCTCAGCACTCCACATTTGTTGTAGCCACAAGGATTTTAAAATCTGACAAATAAGATGATTATATTAAAAAAAACTCCCTGAAACACAGGACCTAAGTTTACATGAGGACCATTAAGGAAAAATCTGTAATTCCAAAGTGGACAAACGCATTGAGATTCAGGCACAAGAAGGAATTTGGCGATTTATTGTGCAGTCAAAATTAAAAATGCAACCATATAAAGAATTGAAGCTGGAGAAACAACCAGTGAAAACAAATTTGAGTGCAAAAAAAAGTTTAAATGGTAAGAAGGATACGAAAAAATGTTGTTGATGAATAAACATAAAATAAACCTTTAATTATGTTCGTCGGACAACAAATATTGAATCAAAAGTACTGATTTCTCTGTTGTAGCACCACTAGCACCTAAAAGAAATATTCTTACAGATAACTATTTGGCAAATCAAGCATCAATTCAGGACCATGAGAGATAAACTCCAGGTGTTGCTCAAAATAAGTTAAATCTTCAAAATGGTACCACTGAGTTAAAGCCAATCTATCTAAATCAGGAGTTGTGTCAACATGATGAATTGTGTTCTTTTCTCTGTACAAACACAACATCTGTTTATGGTTAAACTCCTATTTGTTATCCTTCTCCTTATAAACGATCAGTTTTCAGGTTAGACCCACTAAAATCTTGTTTTGCATTTGGAAATGCAGCAAACTGAAAAGGGAATTCCACTAGCAGTGAAGGAGTGCCCCTATCACAATTGTGAAGTGGTGAGAAAATTTAAACAGTGCTTTCTGTATTGGATTCTTTAGCTAAGAGAGTAGACCTTTACCACAATTCATAGAAAAAAACAAAACAACCAAGTTCTTCATTAAAACAGTCATTATGTGAAAGTATGAGAGAAAATAAAGAATAGAGAAAAAGAAGCCAGTTTAATGCTTTGGATTTATTACAAATGGAACAGCAATTTGAAACACAAGAATTAATTTGTGAGCAAACTGCAATCTAATAACAATCGTTCAGCAAAATCTTCAAATCTTCTGTAACCTACAAATGACACTGCAAAATCAAAGGATTACTTAAACGAGATGCTGTTGAAGTTACACAATAGATAACTGGCACATACCCAGCATTTCAACAGGCAAACATCTATCTTTTGGACACTGTTTAAACAAGAAGAAATCCAGTTTGGGCATTTTGTCAGCAATTCGAATTAGTCTGCTACAACGACCTGCCAGACTCAATACTGTGCTAAGATACTGCTACAGAGTTTGGTGTTCTAAATAGGACTTTAAACTTTTAACAATCCACATCAATGACTTAGATGAGGGGAATAACGACGTGGTAGCAAAATTTGCAGACAACGCAAAGACTCAGAGTAAAGTGTGCCGTGAGGAAGGCAGTAGCAGTTTGTAGATGGATGTAGATAGTTGCACGAGTAGACAAAAATCTGGCAAAAGTGGGAAGGTGCAGGAGAAATGAAAATGCAGGAGACTGATTGTGGAATTCTGAGCTGTAGAGGTATCTAAGTGCTCTGGTGTATGAGTCACTAAAAGTTAGTATGCAGACAGCAGATGATCAGGAAGGCCAATGGGATGCTATCCTTTACTAGGAGAGGAATGCTTATGCTTCATTTATACAGCACATTGATGAGACCACATCTTGAATACTTGGTGCAGTTCTGGTCTCCTTATTAAAGGAAGGATGTAAATACATCAAGTGTGGTTCAAAGGAGATTCAGTAGATCGATACTCGGAATGGCTCAATTGTCTCATGAGAATAGGATAGACAAGCTGGACTTGTTTCCACTGGAGTTTAGAAGGGTAACTTGATGGAAGATCCTGAAAAATTATGGGCTGCTCTTTTAGGACAGACATTAGGAGGACTTCTTCCTCTTGGAAGGTTGCGCGACTTTGGAACTCTGTGCCTCTGAAAACGATGAAAGCATGGCCATTGAATATTTTTAAGGCCGAGTTAGAGAAGGTAGATTCTTGTTAGACAATGGTGTCAAGGGTTATCAGGAGTAAATAGGAATATGGAACTCAAAAGTAAAACAGATCAGCTATGATTATATTGAATGGCAGAGCAGGCACACAGGGTAGAATGTCCTACTTAGAATGTCCTACTCCTGCTGTTCTGTCATATGGTGGTATGTTTATACATAGTGAGATCAAAACACTGTGGCTACACAATTCCATATAGTTGATAACCAAAATAAATGTGAGAACTAAAATTGAAAAAGTAGTTGAATATTACTTGAAAATTACTCCACTATAACTTCAGTAATTTGTTTGACACTTGACCCCCCTTTAAAAATGGTCTAGAAAACTGTATTAAACCACTATGAAGTCTAAACAAAGCAGTGAAACTGGACAGACCACCTGGCATCAACCCAGACACTTGGAA